CCTGCACAAGGAAAATCAATTCTGGCCGGGCCGGTGTGGCTCAGTGGTTGAGCGTCAACCTAGGAACCAGGATGTCAGGGTTTGATTCCCTGTCAGGACACATGCCCGGGTGGCGGGCTCCATCCCTAGAGGGGGGTCGGGGAGGGGTGAAGGAGCCAGCTGATCCATGATTCTCTCTCATTACTGATGTTTCTGTCTCTCCCTCCCTCTCCCTTCTCTAAAAAGATAAAATAAAGTTTGGAAAAAAAAAAAAAAGAACAAGTTGAAACACAGACATGGTTCCTCTGCCACAAATTACTCCGCCGTCACACATTCCAAGGAGGGGACTCAGAGGGATGCGATCTGGGAGAGAACGCTCGCCATTGTGCAGAGGCAAAAACGCCTTTCTTCCCCGGTCCCCGCTCTTCACCCCAAGTGCAAAGGCGGGGAAAGGGCGCTGTTTTCCCGGGGTCCCCTCTGACCGGCCTGAACCTTCTCCCGGACTCACATGTTCCGGAGCGGCCACAGGAGAACACAGAAAGCTCTTTGTCCGCACTGGCTGCCTTGGGCACTCACTTTCCTTTTATTTTTAAGTAAGTTTTTATTGATTTGAGAGAGAGAGGAAGGGAGGAGGGGGGAGAGAGAGAGAAAGGGAGAGGAAAAGAGAGAGAAACATCAATGATGAGAGAGAATCACTGATCGGCTGCCTCCTGCACGCCCCCTACTGGAGATCGAGCCTACAACGGGGCATGTGCCCTGACCGGGAATCGAACCGGTGACCTCCTGGTTCATAGGTCAACGGTCTATGAATCCACTGCCGGGCAAACAAAAAATTTTCACACACACACACGCGCGCGCAAACGTATCTGTGTTTCCTGACCCCCATGAGACATAGGTGTTTGGACTCCGCCTGGTGACCCACTTAGGAAGCCTTCCCTTTGTCTCACAGCAGCAAGGGGACAAAAATGGTCTGTGGGGAGGAGAAGGAGGAGGAGGGACTGACAAGGGAGGTCTTAGAAGGCAGCCCCCTCCCCGCCCCCCGCGGGGAAAGCTCTGTTGGCACCAGGAGGCATTTTGCAGGCGGAAAACCTCCCCATTGGAGCGCAGCTGCGGAGCCCCCACTTCCGAGGGGAGGGAGGGAGGATCGGAGGCCATCTTCAAGATCAGCACTTCCCTCGGGGACTCACATGGCTCCGTGTCTCCGGACGGCGTGCCTCACTGTTTCCAGCGCCGTGTTCCTGACCTCGGGCCTCGTAGCAAAGACCGTCCAATCCCAAGGGCACAGCTACTTACCCTCAGACAAGCCAATGAAAAGTTTAATGGAGCGGCCGGTGTAAGGCCTCTTGCCAGGGACCCTCCGTCCAAGTGTCTGGGTCTTCTCATTCCATCAGAGACATTTCCCGGGGCGCCTTGGCTCCCGGCTCCATCCGCCCGCCACTGGAATTGCGCGGAAACTGGACACGGGCGTACAGGAGTGGCTGGCACCCTCGTCCGCTGGCCTGGCAGGGCCTGGAGGCGGGGACCGGGCCGTTGCTGACGGGGACCATGTGCAGCCCAACCACACCTTTCTGCAGGCTTCCTGGCTGATCTCTTCCTTAGGATCGGATGGCCTGCACCGGAGCTGAGGTCACAGGATGAGTCATTTCCCAGCATGCCCGGGGCTTTCTCAGGGCAGGAGGCGTTTGGGTCACTAGTTTGTCTGCTCAGGTGCCTGGTTTTCCCGAACTCCCTAAATCTTGTCTCAGAGGGTCTTCTTTTTCTGCTTTCTCCTGAGTTGGTTTTTTTTTTTTTAATAAATATACTTTTATTGATTTTAGAGAGGAAGGGAGAGGGAGAGAGAAACATCAATGATGAGAAATCAATAAAAATGTATATATTTAAAAAAGGATCCACTGGCCCAGCCAGCATGGCTCAGTGGTTGAGCATCAACCTATGAACCCGGAGATCACAGTTTGATTCCTGGTCAGGGCACAGGCCCGGGTTGCGGGCTCCATCCCCAGTGTGGGACGCGCAGGAGGCAGCCGATCCATGAGTCTCTCTCGTCATTGATGTTTCTCTCTCTCTCTCCCTTCCTCTCTGAAATCAATAAAAAAAAAATTTTTTTTTAAAAAGGGGTCAACTGTATTCTGAAGGTAGAGGGGGCAAGAATTGCTGATTGATTGGAAGTACCAGGTACCTTCTGAGACTAAGACCCTGCAACGGCCGGCCAGCTTCGGGAACCAGCTACTAAAAGTCACAGCCACCATTTCCCACGGCGGCGGGCGCTGTGCCACACGCTGTCCATGTGCTTGTGTGTGTGCTGCATCCTGACCTCACCGCAGGCACGCGGGGGTCCGGCCACGATGCTGCAGACGGGAGGTGAAGGGGACAGGCCCGAGGGCGCACACTGGGGAGGAACTGTGCCAGCATCCCCGGCGCCCTCGCCAGCGTCCTTGCCTTCTCCACTCCCTCGGACGTTCGCACGCAGGCTGAGCAGATCCGGGTGTGGACCAAAGGGCTTCTTGGCCCGACACTTCCAGATTTATTTTTCCAAGATGAAAACCTCTGGGGGCTCCCACTTGATCTCCAAACGTATGTTTATCTTGGCAGCTGGCGCTCGATGGCAGGAGAAATGTTGCAACCGGCCCGTGAGGTCGGCCCCAGCGGCCCCCGCCGGTCCCCTCGCCCTGTGGCTCCGGGAACTCTTCCATTTAATCAGGGGCTCGGCCAAGGTGGAGAGGAGAGGCCGTGGCACTCCCCAGTCCCCCTGGCACGGCCCACGCACAGCTGTTGGGTCCGGTTTGATTTTGTAATCATGGGGTCCAGGAGACAGGACACAATAGAAAATATTGGAAGAGTATGAAACCGAACCAGAGAAAGGCAGTGGGAGCTTGGAGGAAGAAGTATTAAGTGGAATTGGCACTTCCCCCCAAAATAATAGAAAGAAAAGAAAAACCACACCAAAAACACTGATCGTTTTCATGGAATCGACCGTGGAATACCGTGGGAAACGGGAAAGGGCTGCGGGTTGGACAGGCTGCGTCCGTCTGAGAACTGGATGGTCCAACAGCCCCAGTGAGAGGGCAGAGAACCTTCTCAGGGCGGATGGGGCAGGGGGACGGGAGGACGTGGGACTCGGGGGGGTTTCTCTGCCAACTGGAATACAGCACATCCTCACAGCTCAGGGCAGAGATGAGGGTTATGTACTCAGAAGAGAATAAACAAAAGCCAGCTCTAAGTCATACGAGAGAAAACCATACAACCAGATGCACGTTGGTTGGACACACTGGAGTTCCTGCATATTCATTCACTCATTCATTCAATCACTCATTTCTATTCATTCACTCATTCAATCATTCATTCAACAATCCAATCATTCATTCATTCCTAGTCATTGAATCATTCTCTCATCCATTCCATCAATCATTCATTCCTATTGAGTCATTCATTCATTCAATCATTCATTCATCAGCAGTGGGGACTAAATCTTCCAAGCCCTGGGCCAGGCGCTGAGGGACACAACACACGGGTAAAGCCCGTGCCTGTGCAGTGCAGAGTCCCCTGAGGCACATGAGGCACCGGGGCCTCCATGGGGACAAGCTCAGTGAGCAGGAGGGTGGAGCAGAGACGAAGA